TTAAGAATGGAAAAAAGGAAAGAGAAGAAAGAGGAAATTAAGGGGAGGAGTCAAATCTGAAAGGAAATAAGGAAGGAAAAAAAGAAGAAATAAAAATAGGTGGGGAAATAAAATGAAAAAGAGAGCAAGAAGAAAGTGAAAAAGAAAAGGATATAAATAGTATGAAGGAAACAAGAAAGAAAGAAAGAAAGAAAGAAAGAAAGAAAGAAAGAAAGAAAGAAAGAAAAAAGTAAGAAAGAAAGAAAGAAAGAAAAAAGAAAGAAAGAAAGAGAGAAAAGGGAAATGGCGGTATAAAAAAGAAAGAAAGAAAGAAAGAAAGAAAGAAGGAAAGGGAAAATGGAGGTATAAATAAATAAATAAAGAAAGAAAGAAAGAAAGGGAAAATGAAAGTATAAATAAATAAAGAAAGAAAGAAAGAAAGAAAGGGAAAATGAAAGTATGAATAAATAAATAAATAAATAAATAAAGAAAGAAAGAAAGAAAGAAAGAAAGGGAAAATGAAAGTATAAATAAATAAATAAAGAAAGAAAGAAAGGGAAAATGAAAGTATGAATAAATAAATAAATAAATAAATAAAGAAAGAAAGAAAGAAAGAAAGAAAGAAAGAAAGAAGGAAAGGGAAAATGGAGGTATAAATAAATAAATAAATAAATAAATAAAGACAAGGAAAAAAGAAAGAAAGAAAGAAAGAAAGAAAGGGAAATTGAAGTATAAATAAATAAAGAAAGAAAGAAAAAAGAAAGGGAAAATGGAGGTATAATTAAATAAATAAGTAATAAAGATGGGTGGAAAAGAAAAAGGATGAAAGAAAAAGAAAGTCAATATTTTGAAGGAATGCAATAAAGAACAAGTGATGAAAAAATGAAGAAGAAACAGAATAAATGAGCAAAAGAGAAGGAATCTGAAAGACAGAAAATATGGCGTTTGGAAGTAGAAAAGAAAGAAAATGTCACTTCGGAAGGAAATAAAGAAAATTAAAAAAAAATGAGAGAAAAAGAAAATAAAGCGAAATAATCAAATATAGTCAGCAGACAATTCAAATTGCCAAAGAAAGAAAAATATAAACAAACAAGGGAACGAAGAAAGTAGGAAAGCAAAATGTTGAAAAGAATGAAAGGAAGGAAGTAGAAAGAAAGAAAGAAAGAAAGAAAGAAAGAATAGAAGAAAGACAGAAAGAGATAAAGAAAGAATAAAAGAAAGAAAGAAAATGAAATAAAAGAAAGAAAGAAAGAAAAAGATAACGGACGAATTAAGGGAAGAAATAAAGAAAAAAGTTAAAGACCGAATAAAAGAAAGAAAGAAAAAAAGAAACAAAGAAAGAGAAATATAGAAAGAATGAAGAGAAAGAAGAAAATAGAAGAGAAAGAAAGAAAAAAAGAAAGAAAGAAGAGAAAAACAGAAAGAAAGAAGGAAAGAAAAAAGAAATAATGAAAGAAATAAGAGAAAGAAAGTTGAATTTATGTAGGAAGGAAGGAAAGATGAAAATGAAAGCCATGAACTATGAGAAAATTAAAGAAAAGAAAGGTAAGAACATAAGAAAGAAGAAAAGAATCAAAAGAAGAGAGTGAAAAGAAATGAAAAAGAAAAAAGAAAAGAAAGGAAAAAAAAAGAAAACGAAATTTACAAAGAAGGAAAAGAAAGGAAGAAAAATAACGATAAGAAAGAATTAACAAAAGAAAAAGAAAGATATATGGCTAGAAGAGACGGGAAGGAAGGCTGAATAGCGCTTACTATTTACAGATGTTATCCCTGCAGGTCGTGCTTAAAAATGCTCTTAACTTGGAGAAACAATTTTAAATCTTTTTTGTTCCTCCCCCTCTCCAATTTTTTCTGTTTGTTGCCATTAATATGTGTCATTTTACATCTCTGTCAAGAGATGCTAAAAACTGTGTACGCGCATATTCATTTGCGCATGTGCAAAATTACACACAGGCAACACTTTCGCGTATGCGTGGCATGAACACTGATAAAGCCTATCTGTTCGCATAATCAGATGTACAAAGATAAAGATAGATAATACAAGCTTGTTCGTGTTTACAAAGACATATACATTTACAAGATACAAAGTGACTCAAGCACTTTCAGTTAAAACGTGCTTGCATAAAGAACATATCTATACGAAGAGGTTGAAAAAAAATACTGGCTTTGATTAAGTTGAGGTTCTTAAAAATTTGTTCGGATATTTTCGAGTTTGGATGGGGCCGTGAAGTCTTCATATTTCTCCCTCTCTGCACACACAAATATATATATATATATATATATATATATATATATATATATATATATATATATATAATTAGGATGATTTGAAATAAGTCTGGAAGAAACCTCTACAGAATGCAGAAAGCACAGGACGGCCGTTCCGTCCTATATTTGGGATCCATCAGCAGTGCGCATCTACTACCGAGAATTGAAACCCGAACAATTACGAGTTAAGAGGCAAACGGCATAACAACTGTACCAACGGGGTGACGAAGAGGCATCGAATTACACTCGATATGGCGCCGCTCGATCACATATTCCGTGGTGGAACTCATTCGAGTTTCTCTTTACCCATAGGACTGTGCCTTCAGGATCTATGACTACTATCCCCAAGCCGCTCACTCCAGAGCATTAGAAGCCGGTTCAAGCAAGTATATATATATATATATATATATATATATATATATATATATATATATATATATATACTCTTGTGCAAATTAAATGAAACTGAACGAATAACTCCATTTATTTAATTTTTTTCGTATTTTTACAATGCAACATGACCCAGTACACATGACCGTACTTCCTATGTCCATTCCACGAAGTTGTTCATGGCAGATTGACCACAGATTCTCGATTGGATCTAAATCAGCAGAGTTTCCAAGCCAGTCGATAGTACTTCGATTGCTCACTGGTAGTGTGTTCGTGCAGCGTTACAATTTTCGTGCGCTTTCCTTGGAGTAACGTCCATTACGGACAATGGCTGTAGGACAACTAATCAACAGTCGAGACAATAGTGTCTAGGCGTGATGAAAATCTGATGCAATCACGGATGACGCAATACTTTTCAAGGCCCCCAAAAATCATAACGCACCACGAAAATAGGTTCATATAACTGCACACCACTGCAAATGACCGAATCTGAGAGTCTAAAAGTGACCGTATGCTGAAAGAAAGGAAACTAACCCGGTTGGTTTAATTAGTTTGCAGAAGGGTGTATATAATTGTTTATTTGGTCAGCAATATCGCTTTTTTACGAGTTTCTTTGATGACTACTGACAAGGCACAGCGATTAAGATTTTTATTAAATTTTTCTTGCATTCGTACAAGTAATCTGTTTTCCGGAGATAGTGTGTGTAAAAACTGTGCAGTCATCTTCAGTGAACTATATATATATATATGATAAAGATATTGTTTTACGGTACGCTCTTTCTGTCTATGAGTGTTCAAGATAAAAGATAGACCACATTTAAATATAATAGTGAACACAGATCAATACAAAGCGGCGACAGTTTCGTACTTCAAAGCAATCTTCAGGCGACGTGTCTTTTGTTTTAGCCCGACAATTTATATATGCTTTTCGGTGGTGCACTATGGGTAGTAAGGTCTATTGTGTTGTCCTAATGGTTATTAGTTTGGCGGTAACAGTTATGTTTTGAAATATTCCTGAGACTATTTATGTCCAAAAACGCACAATCATGGAATATTCTAAAGACATGAATATTTATATCTTAAAGAACTTCCAGTGATTTTCAGCGGTCATAAATTAGAAATTTCCAGCATGGAACAGCCTGTCGCCCCTGAGCATTGACTTCAATGTTCACTTATATATATATATATATATATATATATATATATATATATATATATATATATATATATATGTGTGTGTGTGTGTGTGTGTGTGTGTATGTTAACTTCACTTACGCTCAAATACCTTTGGGAACAATATGGATCCATTTCCTCTCTATCTCTGGGTCATGTAATCATGGTTGGCAACCAGCCTAGGAGAAAAATACCTGAATTCAAACAACGCAGGAATAGGTTAGGCTTCGTGAGGACACTTTGTCCAAGACACACTACTCCTACTCCAGCTACTGTCCATGTGGTGTACGTATGACTCTAAAACGTTACAGCAACTATGATCATTAAAGGCGCTGATGAAGCTAAACTCCCAACATAATATGAAAAAAAAAGACATAACAGAGACGAATATTTACTATATTGAATCTAAAAAGCTTCAAAATTACCCGTCCTGGGTAAGACAATAAATTACATCCATGTCCTGGGTAAGACGATAAACTATGTCCAACAGCAAGGCCTCTGATCAGGAGATTTCGAGAAGTGTGGAACTGCCTCTTAATTGCTGGTGTTCCCAGGTCCACCCTGACCCGGGATGATAGCACCTGTTAGAGTCCCAACTATGGCCAAATTGTTAGCCCCCAAACTGGGGTCAAAACATTATGAAAGTGTAAAAATATGTTTTAATAACAGAAATACTTTGTAAAGAATTATTACCAATAAATACATTATTACCAACAAATACATAATTACCAGCAATACATTTTTTTTAAAAATATTACCAGCTACACATTTTTTGAAAAAAAAAATATTACCAAAAAAGGAATTTTTTGAAGGAAAAGTATTACTAGCTATACAGTTTTGACAATATATATATATATATATATATATATATATATATATATATATATATATATATATATATATATTACTAGCAAAAAATTTAGTCTGCATTAAATAACCCATTGAGATGGATATGACGTAAAACAAACCAAACCAAACCAAATCACCCAAAAGTACACCATTTGGACAAGCAACACAATAATCAGGGTATATTCCATATCATCTAAATCAATTGACACCTGATGATGGTAAGAGTGTACTTGGACTAAACGTCGTGTCTCTATTAACATCTATCATCCAAGATGGGAGCATTGACTGTTATTCATGAGAAACATAAAACCCTAAATAAAATCTTCTGAAATAGTTGAGTCAAACTATTACTAATAGTATCACAAGTAAGTTTCACCCGGTTAAATTTTAGTTTGCCAGGATTCCATCTCCAGATCAACTTTGGCTTACTTACGGTCAAGAAATCAGATTAATGGTGATGCAAACCCTGTATTAGTCACCTCGAATTCCGAAAATGAATTGTTCCCCCGGCGTCTGCCGCCCACGAAAAATGTGCTACAATTGCACCACACCTCGTGCTACACACCCTCGCTGAGTCAGGAGAGTAGAAGGAGGGAGCAAAACTCACCAACTAGGAATTACGAGAACGTTAAAGATTTGAGGCTAGCAAAACACGTCATGTGATCAAAATAGGGTTAATGATAACATTAACTTTTTCCTTATTCATAAACTTTCATACATATAAGGAAGCATTCATTTACCGAACTGCGAATGCTACTAAGATTTTTCACTCCTTGGCCATAGAGATGGGATCAAAGTGTAGTTTGTTTAGCGACATATCAACACCTTAATGGGTCGAAATGAAATTTTCTTGGGAGCATCACTAATTTCTTTAACAAAAATGTATTTCTGGTTATATAAATTTTATTTTAAAAGGTATTGTTGGTAAATTTATTTTATGAAAATGTATTGCTGGGATTTTTACTATAAAAATATATTTTTATGCTTTTATCGTGTTTTAACCCCAATTTGCGGGTTAACTATTTGCTTAAATCTGGTGACCTAACAGGAGCTACTATCCCCGGTGAAGGGGGCCTGGGAATCACAGCAATTAAGATGTTCCGCACTTCTAAAAAGCTTCAATCTTCCAACCACAGGCCTTGCTGGAGGATGGGATTATCGTCATACCCAGGACCTTCAAAGTGTAGTATCTGTTATCCTCATTTCTAGTGTAGTGATAATATTAGCCGTTTCCTTATACGGAAATGTTCAGCATTCATTGATCCGTTAATATTAAAATGGGAATTTGTAACATCTTTCTCTTAAAACAGATTATCAAAAAAATAATTTTTTTCAGCTTCACTAAATGTTATTACTTTTTCTCGTCCTCGCAGTTGTTTCCTACCTAACCTAAATTCGACATCTTGATTATGTCATTATTTTTCCCTCGAGTTACATGTGCTATCCGTTTTATCTGTAGAAAGTAGTCAATTGATGTTTTATTTATTTTGTAAAGTGGTTTTTTTTATTTGTAATTAAGTAGCATGAATACACGAAATCTGATAAACGATGTTTCTCCCCGATTTGTAATTTACATGTTCGCGTGTCCCTTTTGCTAGCAACCATGCATTCTGTCTTCTTGCCTGTGATTTTCAGTCCTTCCTTATCGCTTTCTTTCATCATCTTCTGTGGGAGTGATGTAATGAATATGCATAAAGCTGGGTTCCCCCTCATAGTAATATAATTGGCTGGTGTCAGCCATAAATACAGACTGATGTGGAGGTAAATGTTCTACGCTTAGGGCTACGCTTAGGGCTACGCTTAGGGCTACGCTTATTGTCTTCACCTATTGCATACGCCTATTGCCTACCACTACGACGAGGACCAGTCCATTACGGCTACCTGCTAGATTCTCCTACCTGGTTACAGTAATCCAAAACCACCTTGCTACTTCGAACAAATATATCCCTTTCCGGGACATATCAGGGAGTTTTCGTAGTTTTCTTTCCGTGTCGGCTATCAACACAGTGTCATCTGCATATCTTATGCTATTAAAATTGTGGCCACAATAATGAATCCTGGTAGGTCTTGTAATTCTCTCAGAATCGCCATGCCGTATAGGTTGAATAAATCCGGTGAGAAACCACATCCAGTCTTGTTCGTTATATTCGGTTATGCAAAAGGAATATGTATGAATCAATCTCTGATACATACATATATATATATATATATATATATATATATATATATATATATATATATATATATATATATATATATAAATTACATAATAAGAGAGCAAGAATCCTCAACAGAATGCATTGAACGACCGTTTCGTCCTTTTTTTGGTGGGGTGGGGGGTCTCATCAGCAGTGTGCATCTACTACCAAGAATCGAACCCGGTCTGTTACGATAAAACAAAGCATATCACTGGGCCAGCGGGCCTCGATAATGTAAAAGAAACTAACTAGACTCAATATACCGTAGCTACTCCTAATTCCGGTAGTTATACGCATCCAAATTTACCCACCGGAACCGGCGCCAAGAGCAACGTCATTTTTCACCAAGCCGCTCAATCCAGAGCATTAAACTTGGATCAAGCATGGGTTTATAAGTAATAGACATTTTTGCTTCATACACACTAACACTTCCACTCACACATCAGATATTATTTCTTATTGATATAAAATTTATATTCACTGTGCACACGTGTTTTAGTATATATCACATCCTTTAAACAATGTCATTACTGTCTGAGGGCCTAGAGACATTTTTTTTAACAAAATCACAAATTAAAACTACAGATCCTCGATGCAATCTACATTAATAAATTGAAGCTGACATTGAATAGAATCTGCTACAAATACTGTAATAATGTTCTAAAATGTCTATGAAAAGATCAGTTTTCACGGTTTAATGCACGCTTGACCATGACATTGCAACACAAAATAAAAAATTCCATAGAGTATAATTTTTTCACGTCTTAATAAAACTATATTTAAACGCAAAAAGAAAGAAATAAAGTAATGGATATCTACACATAGTTTTTGCCTTACCAATTCCATTCTTGATGATGATTTCAGGAATATATACAAACTACTCGAGAAATAAAAGTGATTTTCACTGTTACAGTTCGTTTCGTGCGTCATTTGACTGTAATACACGGAAAATATCCGTGAATATGAATGGATTATGCTAAAAATAAGAAGACATAATGTTGGCAATTTATTGAATTGGACGTGCCTAAAGAGAATTTGCTGCCTAAATACACAAACACACCCATATATATATATATATATATATATATATATATATATATATATATATATATATATATATATATATATATTGTGTATTTAGGCAGCAATCCTTCATTTATGCATGTTTCATTAAAATGGCAGAAAAGGTACTAGGCTTAAGCTTTTAATTTAATTTTCATTGTGCTCGAAGAAGTGTTTTCTTTTCTGGACAGTTTCTACACATTCTGTGCCCAAAAAAGAAAACATTTGTTCGAAGACAGAAAAATTAAATAAAAAAAGCTTACTCGTAGTACCTTGTCTATCGTTTATAATGAAAATATATATATATATATATATATATATATATATATATATATATATATATATATAATGAAATGACAAAGTCCAACAATTATTTTTTAAGACATTTTTTATGTTAATATGTTCTTTATAGATATAAAAACAAAAAAAAATCTCTTAAAAATAATTATCGGACTTTGTGATATGTGACGTCATTTGTTTACATATAAATACGCATTGAGCAGATATGAATGTATGAAAGAAAATCATAGAGAATTGTGTTTAAAAACAGTAAAATCGACCTTGCTAACCGATCGTTCCTCTGTGGCCCAATCGGTTAAGATACGTCGGGCTATATGACGGTTCCGTATAGGATATAGGTTCGATTCCTGTCGGAGCACGAATATTTTCTATGAAAATTTCTCGGACATTCAGGCTGGTAAATGATGTTAATACTGTTTATTATAAACAGAGCATTTGCTTAAATATTTGTATCTATAAAAAGAACGTATAAACATAAAAAAATGTCTTAAATATATATAATTATCTTTTTTGCGTTACCAAATGTAGTTTATGTTGACACTTTAAGCTCTTGATCGACTCCTTGATTTTCGATCTATAAGCGATAATTCCAGTTTACTGGGTATATGTGGGAAACAAAATTATTCAAAGGACGTGTATATTTTAAACAAGTAAATACAGAACATTATGTATAGAATAGCGGTACTTACGTATCACAAACATTTTTTTTAATGTTTTCTCTCTAGAAGAGTGGTATTTCTACTAATGTGACCTTTGAAATTTACACTCAGTGTATTTCTAGATCTTTATCAAGGTGAACATTACCCACGTGACAAGCCCAACAGAAAGCGCGTAAAAAATATGAAGAAACTGGTTATAGTAAATAATATTGTCTATTGTATCGACAGGGTGGAACACAATGTTGGACCTAAGTTGATAAAAGCAAGCAGATAAGATCATGAAGAGAAAATTAAATTTAAGAATTTTTATTATCGTCATTTTCACAATTTGTTTCACGGGCCCTCAGTTGCTTCCGTCTTTGCAAATTAGATTTGAAATTCATGTCCGCTTTTATGAAGATGGAGTTAAATGTAAGAAGACAAATGAAATTCACGCTATAAATGTTACTGTCGAAAAGGTGAGTAACGAATGTTTCATTACTTGTAAAAAACGACAATGTCTCGAAAATTATAAATGAGATATACCGTATTTCCGGTGTGCTAAGTCGCATTTCTTCATGAAAAATACACTGAAAGTCCAAGTTGTAGAAAGGAGTTTGTCAATCTTCACCAACCCCGTTACAACAAAGAATCACGAACCACTGACATTATTATTATCGTTATCTTCTTCTTCTTCTTCTTCTTCTTCTTCTTCTTCTTCTCCTCCGTTGTCATTTTTCTTCTTCTTCTTCTTCTTCTTCGTTGTCATTTTTCTTCTTCTTCTTCTTCTTCTTCGTTGTCATTTTTCTTCTTCTTCTTCTTCTTCTTCTTCTTCTTTCTTCTTCTTCTTCTTCTTCTTCTTCTTCTTCGTTGTCATTTTTCTTCTTCTTCTTCTTCTTCTTCTTCTTCTTCTTCTTTGTCATTTTTTTCTTCGTCGTCGGCTTTTTCCCCTTCTTCTTTGCCGTTGTCTTTTTTTTCTTCCTTCGTTGTTGTCATCTTCTTTTTCGTCTTCTTCTTCGTCTTCTTTGTCATTTTTCTTCTGCTTTGTCGTCTTTTTCCTCTTCGTATTCGTCTTCATTTTCATCTTCTTCTCTGTTGTCATCTTCACCTTCTTCTTTGTCATTTTTTTCAACTTCGTCGTCTTTTTCCCTTTTCTTCTTCGTCGTTGTCTTCCTTTTCTTCTTTTCGTCATCTTCTTCTACGTCTTCTTCTTCTTTTTCTCTGTCATTTTTCTTCCTCTTTGTCGTCTTTTTCCTCTTCTTCTTCATCGTCGACTTTTTTTTCTTCTTCGTCTTCTTCTTCTTTTTTTTGTTAGCAAAAGGATGCGCCCAAAGTGCGAATTGCAAATCGGAGTTACCAAAATCAAACAAGTACAATAATTTAAATATCTGGGAAGTGTTTTAACAGAGGACGGAAAGTGCAACACCGAAATCCGAAGACGCATTGGGATGGCAAAAAATGCCTTCCAAAAGCTAAGTAGAGTATTAATAGCACAACCTTGCTAGAAACAAGGAAAAGAGTACTAAACTGCAAGGTGATATAAGTCTTCCTAGATGTTAGCGAGTTCTTGCCAATCTCCTCAAAGTTGAAGAAGAGACTTCAAGCAACAGGAATGCGGTTCTACAGAAGGATACTGAGGATACCATGGACCGATCATGTGAACAACGACGAAGTTTTAGAGAAAATGGAAACAAAAAGGAAATTTATACTTAACATCAGGAAGAGACAGTTGAAATTTCTACAGAAGGATGCTGAGGATAACATGGACCGATCATGTGAGCAACGACGAAATTTTAGAGAAAATGGAAACAAAAAGGAAACTTATACTTAATATCAGGAAGAGACAGTTGAAACTTTTAGGGTGCATAATGAGGAAAGATGGCTTGGAAAATCTGATACTCACAAGACAGATAAAGGAAAACATGTAGTGAGCTTGAGTAAGTGGATCGGAGAACACGGTTTAGGGGAGATAACACAAAACAAAATCTATTAAGAACTATATGTGACAGAAATTTTTGGAGTGCTATGATCGCCTTCGTTCTAAGAGAAGATAGGACATGAAGAAGAAATGTACTATTGAAACAAATCAGTTAACCCAATAGGCCTATTCTATTCTAAAGTACGTGTTGTTTCTGATGTGAATAGGTATAACATTGTACTAAACTTTTTTCATCAAGCAAGGCGATAATGCCACTAAGACGCAGAAGGGAGCACTGGGAGGGAAACAGAATGGGAAGGATTTAGAGGGAATCGGAAATCCAATCCTAAACAGGGAACAAGAGATAAACCTAAATTAATATACAAAACAGCGGGAAGGACTATGGATCCTATTGACAAAAAAAAAATCAATAAATAAAAAACAAAATAAAATCAAAAATTAGGTGAAGATGTTAGAAGTATAGAGTTGAAGTGGACACTAAAAAGAACCTGAGATCCATATCTAAAGAGGAAACAAAGGATAAAGCTTACTCCGGGGAGGAGTGTGAACCAGGCAACAGGTGAACATATCTAATTATTAATAGACAAACTATTTAATAATAGGACTAAGATTTTATATATCTGTTTTTTTTTCCTTAAGAAGTTATGATTTTTCATCATTTTGAACGGAGTAACTTTTCCCATACTTTTTTGCCAGACGGTATCCTTTTTTTATTATCAAAGGAAAACAATAATGTCATTTTTTTACTGTAAATTTATAGTAAGCCTAACAACATTGTTGTGACAGAAAGAAAATGACACGCTGTTGTAGATCCCATTTGTTATTTCGGTGATCTTTTCTATGCCACATCTAAGGCTGTCAGCATTTCCGTTACAATTCCGTCTGGCCCAGCTGCCTTGTTTCTGTTCAATTAGGACATTGCAGCTTTTACTTTGGTTTTCTATGTCTGTCGGTAGTTCTGTGTATTTTTTTCCTTCTCTGTCTAAGAAACCAGACGTAAACTCCACCGATCAACAAGCCTGATGAACCACATGACAAAACTCATCATCCGTATTTTTTGAATAGATCGCGCAGCAGAATCAGATCAGAGATAGGACAAGAACAGTGCGGGTTAGTCAAAGACACCGGAACAAGGAACGCGATATTCATACTCAGAATGTTATCAGAAAGAGTGATACAAATGCAGAAGGACGTGTACCTATGTTTCATAGACTACACCAAGGCCTTCGCCAAAGTACGCCACAATGATTTGATGGAACTGCTCAGCAAACCTTGATATATTCCGGAGGGATATCAGAATAATCAAGAACTTATATTGGCTGCAAACAGTATGCAATACGCCTAGGGAACGAGTTCAGTGAATATAAAAAAAAAAAAACAGAAAGGGGCGTAAGGCAAGAATGCGTCTTCTCACCGGACCTGTTCAGCCTATACAGCGATTCAATTCTGAGAGAATTGGAAACCCTACCGGGATTTAGCAGTGACAGCCACAACCTTAAAAACATAAGATACGCAGAGGACACAGTACTGATAACAGACAGGGAAAAGAAATGACAAAATCTCCCACAGAAGGTAGCGACGGAGAGTGATAAAAAAGACTAATCATACGCTAGAAGACAGAATGCATGACCATCAATAAGAGGAAGAGCCCGAAATGCGATTTGCAGGTCGGGAAGACTAGAATCAAGCAGACGTGGAAGTTTAAATATCTGGGAAGCGTCTTGACAGAGGACGGTAAGCGCGATGCTGAGATCCCTAGACGTATTGGGATGACTAAGGACACATTCTAAATGCTGATCAGAGTATTGCGAGACAGTAGGATTTCTTTGGTAACAAAGACAAGAATACTGAGCTGTTACGTGACATCTGTTCTTCTTTACGGCATCGAATGTTGGACGATTTCCTCAAATATGAAGAAGAGACTCGAGGCGACGAAGATTTGGTTCTATAGAAGGATACTAAAGGATATTATAGAACGAGCGTGTGAGCAACGATGAGGTCTTAGAGAGGCTGCAGATTAGGAGAAGGCTTGTACTTAACATCAGAACGACGCAGCTGAAGTTTCTGAAACACATAATGAGGAAAGAAGGCTTGTCGAATCTGATACTCACAGGTCGAATAGAGAGAAAGATAGACAAGGGAAAGCAGCGCTTGACATACCTGACGAGCTTGGACAGGTGAATCACAGAATGTGGACTAGGGGAGGAAGCAGAGGGAAGGAACTTGCTGAGAGCTGCAAGGGATTGAGGGAGGTGGAGAGCCATGATCGCCTACGTCCTGAAAGGATATGGCACACAACACGAAAATAAAAAAGTCAGCGACTTCCTAGTACGGTAAGCTATTAAACCATCAAATATTTTTCCCAAAATACCTAGCTACTTATGGGGTGTATCTTGTAACATATCAGAAATAAGGTATTTTATAACCTTCATGCGTAAAGGTACATCACTGAGATAGATATAGGTGTTTGTGCTTCATTGCACAATATAGTATCCTGGATTTTGTGCTTGTTTTCATTAAACCACTGGACTTTAGTCATTTAGCGATCTATATGTGCTGATATGTTCTCGGCTTTATCGAAATCACAAACTTTGATGAATTGGCTAAAAATAACCATTTTCTTTTATCGTTTCTTATTTGAGTTGGTAATTTTCTAAGTTCTCTGTAATTAAAGGAGTGACGTTAGCTTTTGAAGCTCCGCAAAGTAATTTGAAGAACTCAATTCAATAGAAGTTCCAAGGAGTTTGTGATTTGGAATTTTGACCGAAATCGGTCTTTTGACTAACCCTAGCCCGAATCAGAGTTAAAGTGACGATTTGAAGTTCCATGCAGTCGAATGAGGAATTCAAATGTATTTCTTTAAAATCGTCAGTTTTGTTTTCTAAGTTGAGCCAGAGGTCCACTTAGTTTTGGGCCGGAAACCTAATTAGCCCTCTTTAGGATCGAGCTTAAACGTCCGCACGGACTGCAAAGTTTAAGGTAGTTTATTTTTTTAAGCATTAAGCCCCAAGCAGGGCGTGAAGCCACTAGGATGCAGGGGGTTGCGGAAGATTTGGAGCGAAAGCGGATAGGAGTGATAGAAGAAAGGATGAAGAGAAGGATAGTGGGTAGATCAAGGTAACTGGAGGTGTCGATTGACGTTACATTTGAATAGTTGGAGATTATAGCTTTCAGGGAAACAGTAATTGGGAAGGATGTTCCACAGGCGAGAGGTGCGAGGTATGAAGCTATTGGAGTAGAATAGACGGCTACATTTAAAAGTTTCTATAGTGTAAGGGTGGGAGCGGGATGCCAGCCTCGTAGGGAGCTTGAATTCATGGAGTCTGGGAACCAGTGAAAGCAGCTTATCGGAGCAATTACCATGAAAGTATTTGTAGAAAAGACAGAGAGAGGCGACAGCGCGTCTGTGAGAGAGTGACTGCAGACGAGACGCCAGATAAGAGCCAATTAGATTACATATCCGTCTCTGGATCTTGTCAAGAACTTCGAGGTAAACAGAAGGTGCTCCAGCCCATATATGGCAGCAATACTCCATGCAAGGGCGAATGGTTGTTTGGTATATTTGAAGTATCGATTCAGGGGAGAAAAATTTCCCTGCGCGGCACAGAGAGCCAACTTTCCTCGCGGTGGAAGAAGCAATTGGCTCAATGTATTTCTTCCATTTCAGGTCAGCAGTCAGCGTGAGACCGAGCAGACGCAGGGAGTTGCTCTCAGGAAGTTGACTATCAGACATTTTAATGGGGGGCAGGGAAGGATATCTATGGTGGTTAATGGAGAGTAATTTAGTTTTTGAGGCGTTAAAGTTGACCAGCCAATTCTTGCCCCAGTTAACAACCGATTGGAGGTCCATTTCAAGACGCACGGCCAGGTTAGTTTTGTCGCCGACACTAGATTTGTTTTTGAGGCAGGAGTAAATTGTAGTGTCGACCGCGTAGATGCCAACTTGGGAATCTATGGCGTCAGGAAGGTCCTTGATGAA